CACACACACACACACACACACACACACACGCGCGCACACGCACACGCACCAGAATGGATAAACCTGTAAAGGTGGGGCTGATTTCAGAGAGGTGGGGATGAATGTGATGACTGTAATCTGGAGTCAATGAGTCATGGATCTGTCACAAACACAGGTCTTCATTTGGCCGCTTGGTGGTTCCTGCCGGTCCCCGTCCTGTTTCTGACCACGCCCCCTCCTCTGTGTGTGTGTGTGATGAGTCAAAGAAAAGGAGAAACAGAGTTGAGCCAAAAAAAAAAACCAGCCTGGTTGGTGACGACGCGCGGTGCAGGCGGAGTTAGTCACATTAAGAAGCAAAGCTTTGCTGAAAACGGCACAAAGCGAACTGTGTGTGTGTGTCTGAGTGGAAGTTAAGAATGAAGACAGTTATTAGCGCTACAACGCAGGTGGATCGATCACTTATCAATACTTTTAAATCGCTCTGCGAAGGAAGCACGACGCTGATGATAAGTTTTTTTTTTCTAAACGCTCGGTGTTCTGATCGGCCGTTGTTTTAGATTCTGGTGATGTGTCTCTTTTTCACACGGTGGCTTCCACGAGGCTGCTTGCCCTGCCATTCCTTAGCCAGCCTCACACTTTTAGGGATCTGCAATTCAGAAGGGAAATACACACAAACAAAGAAACAAACAACGACAAAAAACGACCGTTAGTTTGAGAAAAGAATAAAGGAAAAAAGACAAGAACAAAAAAATATCTAAGGGTGTCGGCATGTTGGTAGTCTGCTGGATCAACAAAACAGAAAACCTTCCAGTCTTTTTATTTTATTTTATTTTATTTTTTTGGAAGCACGCTCAGAAGCAGCCACTGCACTTTGTCACAACATGCTTCACCCCAGTCATGATTAAAACACCTGGAACCATCCTGCAGCATGCAGGACACTTGAATATTAATGACTAGATTTACAGCTCAGATATATAAACACCTTGGCCTGTGGCCTCTGGAGCTGATGAAACTACCTGACCTGAGCTGATACACCTCAGTGATGCTGTCTGGGTCAGAAGTGATCAGTGGGTAACTGTACGTTTCCTGGCAGCGAGGTGGAACATTAAAGGATCCCTGATTAGTTGTAACATTAGACTTTATTTGATAAACATATTTTAACTGTAAAATAAAGACTGTAAAAATACTGTAGGATGTTTAGTTTTTATCATTTTTTAAAATATATTACACGGACGGAGCCATTTTATTTACACACAAAGCATTCTGGGTAAATGATGACGTGGATAGGTCCGCGGTGCGAGGCTGCTAGTGAGCTATATCCACCCTGAAGGTTAATCTTGGACAATATCTGATGATCGACTCTTTTAAATGAAACCAGAGAGCGTTGACAGAGAGGATCACACCGAGGACCTATCCACATCATCATTTACCCAGAATGCTTTGCATGTAAATAAAATGGCCCAGTCCGTATAACAAAATTTTAAACTTTTAGTTTAAAAATGATAAAAACTAAACATCCTACAGTATTTTTACAGTCTTTATTTTAC